TTCTTGTGAAAAGGACTAATATGGTACAGGAAAGAAAAAAAAATCAAGAGATCAACTAGAAAAAATAAACAAATAGCAAGAATATATATGTGTGGGATGCAGAGTGATGGACATATGAGGCAGGAATTACTGATGAGGAGTAGGAGAGCTGAGAAGAGGGCCAGGTGCTGAGAGTCCCTGATGTGTACTGCACTGAGTACCATATGGAGGACTGTACTAAATGATAGTGCCAGCGTCTAGCAGAGAAAAGCATCTCTTAAGTTAACATATTAAAAAAGTTGTGAACTACGTGACTGCAACTTAATACAAAAAGATCCCTTTTGCTTACTGGTAGGATCATAAAAAGTAAGGTTAGGCAAGAAATCTATTTGCACAATTACTTGGAAAAAAATAAGAGCTTTTTAGTTTATTTCATTTGATTCTTATTTTGTTCTAAAGGTATATAATGGGGGAATAACAAAACTTATTTTTTTCCTTTTAATAATATCAGCCAGGATTTAGGCAAAGTTTGATGCCACCGTTGAATTAATTTGGTCTTATTTGTTGAAGGTCTAGGTAACATCTTTAGGTCTGTAATAGCCATAAAATTCTCCTTTCATTCTCTATTCTGACTTGTGAAAAGCAATCAATGGTTTAGATATTTCTGGAATACTGTCATTTTATTGTGAAGAGCAGCAGTGTTTCCAACAAATTAGTTTGTATCTTTTCCATAAGGCTGTAACGATAGCAGTGAGCAAATTTTGATAGAACATTCTCTACTTAAAAAAGTTGATATGCCCAATTCACTGTTCACATAAAAACAGATTTTTGGATAAATTTTCCACTTGAAAAGTCTTTTAAATGCTTTCTAAAGTTTGAAAAGAGATGCTTTATAATCTTTCAAAAGAAATTATGTTTATATTATGGGGAATTACTTTGTCTTTTTCTATAATTTTTGGATAAAATATAAGTTGATGCACTTTCCATTGTAAAAAGTATTAATTTTCTTTTTTAGAAAAGATCAAAATGAAAACTAAATTTTAGAAATATCAAAAAAGGCAATTTGCCTAACTAAAGTTTGGTTTTCATTTCTATATATAATATAATATAATATAATATAATATAAACTCTCTGGTGTTTATTGTTTTTACTCATAAGCATTCAGGGGTTAGAAAAATGACTCATGTGCCACTGAAGTTAAAAACAGAGTCCTGAATCTGGATAACTTTATACTTTCTATCACTGGGAGAAAAGGAGAAAGATTTTCAGAGAATGTTTGCTCTTGTGCCTGTGCCCTGATTATGAAAAGAGCCAACAGTACAGTTTCAAAAGATGAATGTGAACGCAAAAGTTATACATTACAGGATTATTAAAACCTACTCACTGGTGGGTGAGTAGGTGGCATCACCCATCCTCTTCTTATAATTGTCTTTTTTTTTTTTTCAGCATGTTCACTTGCTCAATGGATAAAACCAGAACTACTGCTTTAACTTCTATGCAATTTGAAATTCATTGTTTTATCAGACTTCATGATGGAATTGTGTCCTAAACCTCAGTTATTTTTTCTCTTTATTTTTTTCTGTTAGTTTACCCAATAATCTTCAATATTTTTCTTAACAAACATCTCTCCAAAACCCCTATATCTTCAGAGTCATCTCTATACTCTTATGATGTTTTATAGTCACCGTCATAAAAATATTATTTCCGAGAAAACGTTCAGTTTTTGGAAAATCAATTATTTCAAGGCAAAATGTGTTTGTTTAAAAAAACAAAAATATTTCTGCCAGTTAAAAAAAAAAAAAGCTTTTTCTATCAATGTCAAACTGTTGAAGGCTTTTACAAGAAAAGAAATATCTCAAAATATTTCATCATAGTTGAAAATATATCCGTTTCTGTGAAAAGGTATACTCTGTCTCTCACAAGAGGAATGCTACCTCTGCTGTGTCTCTTGCTTTGAAACAATGAATGATTCAAAAAAAAATTATTTCAAAAAATGTAAAAGTTGGAGATACTGGAGACACATAACTCTGCTTGTCAACCAGGACTTCTTAAAAGCTCTGCTCTGTCTAGGAAGAAAATAGGATTGTTTCCCAAAAAAATTTGCATTTTTATTCTACTGAATCACTTGTGTGTGTACTAAAAATCTGGGGCATCAAAATTTGATCTCTTTCAAACATGAATTTCCCCTGAGCAAATAAAAGTCTCTTCTTTGTTCTCTTATTTCCAAGCATGTGAATGATCTTGCATAGAAACTGTTCTGTCAATATATTAAATAAAACAGGCTTAATGTAATAATTAATAAGAGTATTGGTTAGAATCAGTTAGTATTTTTCATCCCAAAATACCTTAAATCTGTGATGACCTACAGCTCAATTTACCAATCTTGCAAAAGATCTTCATTGACATCAGTGGTCACTTTGCATATATAAGGTCTTTTAAAAACAGCATCACCACTGGAAATATGCGCATTTTCAGTTTCTGAGTTAATATCTAGGAGAACAGTCTTAAACTGACAATGTCAAAGTAAATAGCTCTCATTTAAAAAAAAAACTGAAAAGTAAAATTGTTGCGATGGGTTTTTTTTTTGTTTTGCTTTGTCCTTTTGCTTCCTAAAATACTGTATTTGCTCACAACTATCTTTCCAAAATAACTTAACCTTAAAAATAACCTTGTAAGGTGAGCAGTGGTGCAACTTTGACAAATTTAGGAACATCCTGATATTAATGACGTAATGACGTAGTCCTGCCTTGTGACAGCACTCACCAGTTTTACCATTGATCTATCATGGATTTACTAGGTAACTTCTCAATGCATAAAATACAGTCGCTCTGTAGATTGATTTATCCATCGATACTATTCTGTGTGTAAAATGATGAAACTTTGGAATGCAAAATTTTCCAAGTCTGAATGGAAAATGTATAGCAAGGTACTCAGGGATGCACTGAGTACAAGTCATTTTTGACCAGTCGTACGTATTTCCTACGTATAAGAGGATGCTTAGAGAGCTAGCTGATGTCCTTGCATGGCTGTCCCATTAAAAGTCATGGATATAGTCATTTGCCACGACAAGGCAAGTGTTGTACCTGTCATCAAAAAATAAGGCCAAAATGTCAACCGGGAACTACATATCTGTCAACCTCACTTCAGTTCCTTGGAAGATTTATGGAGCAAGTTGTCTTAAAACACATTTCCGGGCATGTGAAGGAGAAGAAAGTGATTGGGAACAACCATTATGGGTTTGCAAAGGGTAAATCATGCCTGAGCAGCATGATTGTTCTCTATGACAAAACCACTAGATTGAAATAAGGACAGCACAGTGGATGTTTTTTACCTGAACTTTGACAAGCTCGTCAGTACTGTCTCTCACATATTCTTATATGTGGGACACAGATGGGTGGACATCTAGTCAGTAAAAAGAACTAGTTGGATGTTCAGTCTCAGAGAGTGGTGGTTAACAGGTTGTGTTCTACTGGTCAGTGAGGAGTATGTGTGGGTCTGTACAAGAAGGACCTGTCCTGGTTAACATGTTTATCAATGGCCAGCAGAAGGTAGTGGAGCTGCTCTCATCAAGTCTGTGCATTGCTCTATACATGGGAGAAGGAACTTCCACAGTTGAGGGCAGAGCTGCCAAATGGACCTGGACAGGATGGAGGAATGGGCTGACTGGGACCCTGTGAAACTGGACAAGGACAAATGTCATGTCCTGCCCTGGGAGGAGCAGCGCTGCAATGATACGTGCTGAGAAGTCCCTGGTAGCTCAATAACTGAGCACGAACTGTGCGTCCTGACATCTAGACACTGTGCCCAGTTTTGGGACCCCAGTGCAGGAAAGCTGCTGGAAAAGTAGACTAAGTTTTCCTGAGGGCCACCAAGGTAGACACCTGCCTGTAGCTATATTCAGTCCTGGTCATAGGACTCATCAAAACACATAAATCCAAATTTACAATTTCCCTTTTTAATTCTCTGGCTTCTTGATATCTCTTACTCTTCAGCTCCTCTGCTTTTTATTTTATTATTTTTATTTTTTTTGTGTGTGTGTGTTTGTGTGATTTTTTTTCTCACTACATTTTTCCATTTTTTTACTGTTCAATATAAAATCTTTCTCTTAAAAACAACTGTTTATTTTCGTCTGAAAAGGGATGCTAGAGCTGCGAACAAACCTCATCAGAATTTAAAACACAAATTCCCTCCAAAATCTCACTTTAAGGCCTTCAAGTACCTTTTTCACTAACCATAGATGGCCAAACTCATATAGATGACATTTAAGTAAAAAAGTAGCAATTCCATGAGGCAAAAGTCTTGTCTGGAAAAGTTAGAATTTTGAGCAAACTTTATCTGTTTATACTTACAGAATTGAGAAAGGCTTCATAACAAGAAATGCTAGGCAGCTTAAAATAGGCTGTGCTTCCAGATCTGCTTGAAAAAACATGTTTTTCTTTCATTTGTGTTAATTGTAGTTATCTACTTACATCAAAAGAGGCTGGAAATAGATGTGTTGTTTTTACTGTATGTTCACTATTATGTATCTTTCTTACTTTTTTGATAAACTTCTGGGACATTTGGAAAATAAAATTAAAATTTGAGTTCTGACAAGGAGGACAATTATACTTTAAAGACAGATAAGCCTGTATCCATTGCAAATGTAGTGACACTAACTGACATGCTAATTGGGCTACACCCCTTATCTAAAAAGATGTTGCTATTTCTACTCTGTCTATATTTGATGGATATTATGAAAAAGATCAAACTCTATGAATATAGAAATTGGAAAATCTATTATAGAAGAATAACAAGACCGTGCAGAACTTTATTAAAGAATTAGACTGTTCCTTTTTTAATACATTAAATTTTACAGAAAGTTTTGCTGCTTCAGATTCTACTTATTTGTATATTTTGTTTTTGTTTTTGATAGTGGCAAACTTAAGTAGTGTCATTAAGCAAACAAAAAAGGCATGTAGATAATTAGTATTTTTATTTATACTCTTTGTACAATGTCCTAAAATATTTTTCTTCATTTTAAGGTAACTGAGCTGCACAATATCAAAAACATAACCAGATTGCCTCGAGAGACCAAGAAGCATGCAGTGGCAATTATCTTTCATGATGAGACGTCGAAGACATTTGCGTGTGAGTCAGGTAAGCAATTGCTACTCCAGTTTGAAGAAATCAAGTTACAGTACAAGGAATCGCTTAAGTGAATTACCTTGGAACACCAGATAGGTATCCTCATCTTAAAGGGAATTTGTTGTAAACAAGAACTTGGGGTTTTGGTGATGAGTTCTGGAGGTGGAGGCTTGTTTGGTTGGGTTTTTTTGTCTGTTTTTTGTTTGTTTGTTTGTTTTGTTTTATTTTGTTTTTATAATCTACTTTGGAAGATGTTGTGGGTTCAGAGCTCTTTCCTTCGTTGTTTATCTTTGACTGGATTTTGCACCCTCATAATCTAACATCTTGGCAGATTTTCTGCTAAGCTTCTAACACCAAGTAAACAACAGCTACAGGGTAATATTAAGTCAAGACGTGAAACATCATATTCAGTTTTTAACCAAGTTTTGCTATAGGCATTTGCTAAAGTAATAATAATTGTGCTATTGCAAAGAGGTAAGTAACAACTAAAACCTCAGGATATTTTACAGATGTATGTCAAGCACTCTGCAGCTTCAACTGCTACATGGTAAAATGACTAAGTTGAGAGCAGACTTCAGGGTACATAGTGACAGGCAGCTACCTAGCATTTGCGTCAAATAATGCATTATTAATTTACCTATTCCTTGTTAAAAAATGTGATTGTACATGTCTGTGATCTATGGGATATTTCACTTGGAAAAAAGTTTAAACAAAGAAACAGAAATTTATTGTCGTAATATTTCTAGATATAATATTTCTGAGACCTATAATAGGTAGGTCTTGCTTTTACTCTTTTTTTAAAAAAGCTTTACTTTTGGTTGAAAATGAGTGATAGACTATTGGCATCGAGTGACAACATGTTTAGTTGTTGGGTTTTTTTTAGTTTTGTGTGTATTTTTTGTTGTTTTAAAGATGAGATTTTGCTACTTGTTGGTGTTGATTCTCCTCATCTTAGGAAAAAAAAAAGAAAAAGTTTGCTTCTTAGGAATAAGACAAATTAGTTAATATTTTTACTGCTAGATCTTTCAGGCTATTGCCAAATTACCACTGATTACGACTATGCTTTTTAGCATGGATTATTTTCACCAATGAAAGCAAAGATTTTTTAAGATTATTGTTTAGAATGTGTGTTCTTTTGATCATGAGAAATAGTTCCTCTCAGTAATGATGACTTTTTGTATCTATGCACTTTTAATTAAAAAATATCTATCTTTATTACCACCTTTCTCATATGCTTTCCTGTTGGTCTTCATTTTCCCATGGCCGCCTATTTGAGCCATGCTGTTAGGACTTTCTGACACATGTTGGCAACATGTATGCACAATAGACGAAAGGAAAGAGTATTTTGCCCCATCTTTGGGAAACTGCTTTCATTAGGACAGGTATTGTGCTATTAGTCCTGAACATTTTCCACCCAGCTATTTTCAGATTAATAATTGAGGTACAAACTTAATTCTAAAAATAATTAACGTTTTTTACGGGGTTTTCTTTTCTCATCTATTGGGAAGACCAGCTCAGATTTTAGTGTGATTGCCAGATGTTGAGTTGGAAAACTTTAGACAGTTGTCAGCATTTTCCAGCACCTGCCATCCCTTCAGCCCTGCTGTCAGCCAGGTGCCTGAGCTGCGAGCTCTACTGCATTCCCTGTTTGCAGTGCAAAGGGGGCTGCAATGACACAGGGTTAACCTCAGCCCAGAGCATCCACGTTCAGGTGACAAGAGCAGTAGGAATCATTCATTAACCTCCTGCACAACTCAGTGGAAGAGCATATTTCTACATCAGTAGCAAAGAGACTTTTCTAGGTGGCACTCCTGGTTCAGCACTGCGTCCTTTCAGAAAAAGCACAAAAAAAGGATATCCAGGCTTGCAAACTGTGCTGTTCCTACAGAGTACCTTCCACCTTCTATTGCAATGAGAGAAAATCTGAGAATTTTCTTGGCAACTTAGCTGGAAGCCATTAATATTTTTAACTGCAGAAATTGGAAAAGGTATCTTGTTGGGAGGATGCAATATAGGAAATTCTAATTTATAGGCTTTGAAGGTCAAAACATTTGGGAGTTGAAAATATTCCCTTTTCCAATAAAGTTTCATTAAATAGTATTTATTGCCGATGTGTTAACTGTTCAGAGCGCCCTTGATGTTCACCTGCTGTAAACTTGTCTGGATGCTCTTTACTTTCAACATAGTGGATCTAAGTATGTGAAGAAAGTCCGTATTATTCTTTGTTCCTGGACAAATATATTGAAGTGTAGACACTGTGAGTATTTGCCATGTCTCAATTTTACTCAGAGGAACTTAAATTTATATGAAATATAAAGTGTTCCTGTGGGCACAAAAGTCAAACAGGATAGAAAAGTCAAGCCGGATAGCTGAGATAATAATGAATCATCCATTTTATGGGATGTAGGACTCATTGGGAGTGAAGGAGGAGAAAAAATCTTCCTACTTGCAGAAGCTGAGCAGCTTCAGAAGAAAAGCAGAAGAAAGAAAGCAGAAGCAAGTAGAAAGCAAACATTTTATTAGGACCTAAAATACTAAGGCACCACCTATTTTTTACATGCCTTCATACAGTATATACCAGAATGTCAGTTCACCTTGCCTGTTCTACACTTCCAAAATGTGCTCTTACAAAATAATAAAACTATTACCGGAAACCATCTGAGAATCTTGATGAGTTTTATGGATAAAATGATCTCTTATTATGAGTTGTTATTAGGGGTTAGGAGGAGAGGGCCATTAGCTAAATGGCAGATGAAAGTGACAAAGCCAGGGAAAATCAACTTGAAGCTCATTGTCTCTGAGGACTTCGCCCCACTATATGAATTTCACATATAGGTGTGTGTATATGTGTATATATATATAAAAGCATGTGTGTGTGTGTGTGTGTAACTATGTGTATAAAGAATTTGCTTTAATTAAGATGTATATGCATGAAATTGTGGTATAATTGGATTTTAGTTGCTACTAGCAGTGAGAAATATGAAATATTGAAACATTTTATGCAAAATAGAGTAAAAATATCCATCTCTTCCTCTTTATCCACTGCTTTCTGGACTATCTAGATGCTTGTATTCTGTGAGTAGTTCTTGACATTCAACAGAGAAGTTTTCACAGTTGACTTCCTGCGGTACAGGGGAATAGATAAACTGTGTTCTGAAACAGGAATAAATCCATGTCTTCTTCATCCTAAGAAATATCCTGTTTCTTCAAGCTGTGTGTATTTTTTTATAATGTAGAAGCTAAATACTCTCCAAGATTGCCTTTTTATGTATTCCTACGTGTGGGAGTCAGGTTATGAAACAACACCGTTGAGTGGAAAAGGGTGAGGACTGCATACAAATTTAATGTTCCCATTTTAAAAGTGCTTTTGAAACATCAGTATTAACAACCACTACAGTGCTCTCAGAATATCTCATGCTAAGGATGTGTCATTCTACACTAACCAAATTCATTTCTTGCTGACTCCACAATACATAAAGAAATTCCTTTTTCCTTCTTCTTCTTATTATTATTTAGATTTTGTCATGTTATTACTGGATTGTAGGTTGATGTTTCCCTCATGCTACTCAGGTTCTTAGGAGTATTGTGTTGATTTTATTATGATGATCAAGGAATTGCATATGAAATGGTGGTCAGATTGTCAGTTAGCCACCTGTAGCCTCGAGGAAGTACAAGGCTACTAGGAATTACATAACAGTGTAGAAAAAGCTTTATCATGAATATAATGAATATAGTAAAGACTATAGTAATTGTCTAATTATATTTATTATCATAGATAATATGCAAAAACAGGTGGAAGTAAGAGATGTATTCCTGTCCTACTAATGTATAAGCTCTTCCTATTATTTATTAATATTATTTTATATATAATTATGTATATTTATACAAAATATGCATTACATCAGTAATTCTATCAGTAAGTTAACATTCAGTCATGAATCTCATGCCTGCACAAACATGTGCACACATGTACACACAAACATATATGTGTATGTGTCATCCCTAATAGAATATAGTTTGTCTGTTTTTTGAACATAATGAAAGACACAAAAATATATCAGGAGTGCTACAGTTGAAATGGGATGGCATACCAGCACCCCTTGTATTTTTTATTTAATAATTTAGTGTTTATTTAATCATTCTTATGTCATTGTGTTATGTGGTTACATGTCTGAGTAATTTTTTCTAGGGACGTCTGCTGTGACAGGTGCTCGGGAAGAGAATAGAATGAAACTGTGCGTTTTAAACCTGTGGTACACCAGGAAAAACAGGCTCCATTTCTTTTCTAGGCTTGTACTTTCTAGCATGTAGCATTAGAAAATATTATAATAGTGTACCTTTCTTTGGTTTCAGTTTGCTTCTTTCTGTAAAGGTTGGAATTTAAAAATAGTATATAACTGTTCTTGTGAGAAGGAAATTTAAATAAGATGTTTCCCCAGGAAATTCGAACAGGACTCCAAGGCCTAATTATTGTAGTGTGGCTGTTCCTCAGGCTTTTGGGCTACTGGCCCCCAACAACATGATACTGGTGCCTTAGATGCTGAAACTTTGGATTCCTCAGAATCCTGCCAGGCAGACTGACGAAGAGATGGGTTGATTTCTGAGAGCTCATTTAGGAGTTGATGAAATGGCATTTAGTGACAAAAGGTCTCAGACAACTCTAGGAATAGCACATGCGGAGCCCTACCTCTTAAAATCTTGCATAAATGTTAGGACTGTGCTAAGATGCATCATCTGCAAAAGGTTATATTTTACAGTGTATATTTCCATATTTTTTCACATTAAAGTCTCTAATAGTAATAGAAAGATACAAATACTTAGCTCATGACTACCTAAGAAAGCACCCTGCATTTGGGCATGTTTCTACTTTTTTGGGATCATTCATCTAATATCCTACCAGCTCTCCTCAAATATGTGCACACTGGATTGGGAGCCAGGGATCAGCTGAAATACAATGGCTTTTGCTCATCTGTGTGCAATAAGGGTCAGATCTCATGGGATCTGTGCAAATC